GCATTTTAATAAGTTTCCCCAAATGATTCCTATGCATGTCAAAAGTTTAAGGGCTGCTTTATGCATCCTGGTCTTTTTCTGTCTTCACTAAAGCTCTGTGATGTAGCCATCTAGCAATTATGCTTCAAATTTTTATTAACTAAACCATTAATGATCACTTACGTCTCTTAGTTACCTAGTTAGTATGGAAGGGAAAGGAGAAAGGGTGTCATCAGTGTGCATTCATCTACATAAATTTAGTCTGTATCCTATTTTCTTATTTTGCCAATTTTGTCTTTTAAAAAATATGGACAATGGATTTTCATGTAGTCTAAGGAAAAAGAGAGAAGATAAGTACAGAATTAATACAAATGCCATAAAGAATTTCCAGAATGAAGAAAATAGACAATACCAAAAAGAAAATGGAAGGCCCCAGACTCCTATTACAGAAGCTGGGCCTAGACATAATTGAGGTTTTTATTCCATGGCCCCTATTACAACAGCGCTGCCTCCTCTTTTATCCTACACACATCTCTTGGCAGGCATCCCATAGCTGGATCCACTGAACCCACAGGTCTCCCCAATAATCCTAGTGAAAAAACAAGAGATATTTTATACTATAAATAAAGAACTAAAGCACAGAGTAGTTCTCTGGACAAGGAGTAACCTTTACTTTGGTTCTTTATGAGACTGCACAGTAGTACAACCTGCTACTTACACAAGAATGTTCTTTGTAACTCAGTGGCAGAGCGCTTGCTTGCCTACCATGTGCGAGGCACTGGGTTCGATTCTCAGCACCGCATATAAATAAATAAAGGTCCATTGACAACTAAAATTTTTTTAAAAATGTCCCTTAGAGATCTGTCACCTGGGAAGGGTGACAATGATGGAAGCAGAAAGACTCAGGATGGGGGAGGATGGTTAAAAAGCAATGGGAAATTAATGGTATGAACACTGAGGAGTAAATTGCTGATTATGTGGAAACATCAAATCCAAATAAGAAGACTGTAAGTTCATTAAGAGAGACCACTATATAGTCTATAAAACTTTATTAAAATTGGGATTACTTACAAACCATATAATACAAATGAAAAAATACATAAGACATCATTATTTTTTCTTACAGAAAAGTGGGCAAAATGAGACCCACGGCAAAGAGCCATCCCTGATTTTTTTTCTTTCAAACATTCATTAACATTTATTTTAAATATAAATGACAAATCTTTTCTCTAAGTAATACTAAGGCATTACCTGTAGGCTAAAATTCACACAGTGATTTCTTAGCCCTGTTATCTCAACACTAATTCCATAAATATGGGAAACTAGCAACTGCACACTGTTAGCAGTTTCTAAAATTCACATTATGAGCTATTCGTTAACATAAGAATGCTGTTCATGCTATAGGAAGGTACAAAAAAAGTGATTTCAACATTTTCAAGTCATCATCAAGAATGTGAAAGAGGAGGATGATATACATGGACATGGGAAAAGGGACACCAAAGCTACACATTTAGGAAGTCTGTGTGACCACTCCCATTCCTGCTAAAGATGCAGGTCAGCATTGGCATGAATCTGTTTTTTTTTTTTTTGTTTTGTTTTGTTTTTAATTTTATTCCCAGCAAGCTCTGGCTTTTGCAAGGTAAGGCACCAAACACCCTTTTACAGGTAGTAACTGTCTAGAATCCAACTCAATAGCAACCTGAATCCATACATCACTAACATACCATCGGGTCACCATAATTGCATAGATTTCTCTAAAGAGGAGAAAATAATAATAGTTTCCGCTACATAGAAAGAGAAATAACAATTTTGGGTGCATTTGTCTAATGCAATGGTTATTTACTTGGTTTCAGTTCCTACATAATGTTAGGGCACAATAAGTCTGTTCCACTGTCCTTTCCTTGGTTCATATAAAATTCTTAGCATTTCAATATAGGTTATTATCTAACATGTCAGACCTGAGTCCAAAGGAATACTAGGACATTTAATTTTCTTCCCTCCTACTTCAACTTTCACCACTCAATTCAAAAAAAGTTAGGAACCATTTTTATGCAGGCATCCATCTGAGCCCATCTTTGTGTGTGTGTGTGTGTGTGTGTGTAACAATAAAAAGATCTGAGGGCCAATTAAATAATCCATTCCTAAGCCTCTTATTTTTTGGATATCAGGACCTGGGGGGACTATCTGGTCTATCTGGATCCTTTAATTCATCAAACCTCTATCAGATATACCCAGTGGAGACTGAGTTAAAGGAAACTTAGTGGACAAAGAGAGGTCTGGCCCCTAGAATGGGATGTACTCTCACAGAATGGTACATGTGGGACCCAAAAAGCTATCATTAGCAGAATTCTCTTTGCAAAAAACTTAAAAATCACAAATTTGAGGGGAGAAACAAAGTACTTTTGTGTGATGAAGACTGATAGGAATTTCTTATTAGAAGGTCCCAGAATGGGTAAGTTTTTCTTGGTTTTGGTAATGTGTTCTGTTGCTCTCACAAAAACAATGAGTGAGGAAGTGAAAGGAAAACATTTTAGGCTAGTTGCCTCTCTGTGTTCCCAGTAATGGGAGTCATGCTCTACACAACTTTGTCAGACCGATTAGAGGCAATAGATTTCCAATGCTGATGAGACCCTGAGCCCCAGAGCCAATTTACAGCTTGATATTTGGCAAGCAAGACGCTGACGTGGCAGCAGACATGGCTCCAATGTCCATCTCACCCCACAGTTATCCCTTCAATCCTTCTTGATGAGATTGGTCTGAGAGATGAGACTGTGCTGAAATTGCAAGAGCTATATAACTGCCAGAGAAAATTAAATAGGGGCTTCAAGTAGTGACTGAGCCAGCAGACTAAGTGGCCATGAGGGAGACAAGAACAGTTCCTAAAGAAGGTTTACAGAGTCAAGCAATCTCCAGGCAGGGCTCTGAAGTATAGTCACACAAGCAGGCAGGGCAAGGACATGCTCCACACCAAAAAAGCACCATCCTTCACTGTCTGAGAGCAACTCTCATGCTGCAGGGCAACTGTCATTTCCTGCAACTCAGTTCTCAACTACCAGACAGGGAGAAATAAAATAGTTTGATTTTATTCATCTCAAATTCAAGCACAGTGAAAAACTGGTCTTGGTATGGAAACTATAGTTCACAAGGAGTTACTATACAGAAAAGGGAGAGCATTTCCTAACTTCACAATGCCTTTCTCATGAAAATAAAGACATGAGTCAGGAAAAGTCACCTTAGAGGAAAGCTACCACCTCCTTAGGAGTTGTTTTGGGGAAGGCACCAAAATCCCCATAGAGTCCTGAGACCATCCATACAGTTAGAATTACTTCTTCAAATCAACTTATGATCCATATGCTAGATCTCAAAATCTATAAATAAGGTAAGAGAACACTTCAGAGGGTGTGTGTGTGTGTGTGTGTGTGTGTGTGTGTGTGTGTTTAATGCTGGGGATTGAACCCAGAGCTTCATACATGCTAGGCAATTACTCTACCATTGAGGTACATGTCCAGCCCCTTGGAGGTTTTAGTAGTACTTTAGAGGAATAAAATTTTACCATGTACACAATTTACAAAGGCATAAAAGTTTCCCAATATAAAGTTACTTGTACTCTGTGACTTTAAGACATCTGCCCAAATATTGCTCATTTTTCACTTTCTATTATTTGTCTCTTTCTGCCAACTGAGGTAGTTGTCACTTTAGGATAGTTTAAGGCTCCAGGGAACCCTGATGGAAATAATCGACTGGCCACCTGGAGGGGAGACTCAGAGCTGATATTTTAGAAGTTAGCAATGGAGCCTGGGGCCTTTCAAAACTACATGCTAATAGCTGGTCTGAAAAAAATTGTAAAAGCTTTTTAAAAAAACATCTTTCTTTTCCAAGATCAAGATAAGTCAGGAAATCCAATGTTGTGTACCCTCCATGAGTTTCTATCCTCCTGGGTAAAGGAATTACAGCTTTTTCCAAGGTTCAAGGATGAGGATAACAAAGAACCAAGCAAATGACAGATACTTGGGAATTTGCTCCTTCATAAATGACATTGCTGGCCTAAGGGTACTTTCCAATGGCAAAAGAATCTGAAAGTAATAGATTTATATATAACAAAAGGCAGCATGAACCTCTGATGAGAAATGGAATTACAAATAAGTATGGTATTCTTAGGAAAATGTGTCTTCTCCTGATGGCTAAATAGGCATCAGAGGCATAAAGATAACCTGGAGACCTATTTCCTGGCAAGGCATCAAGAAACTTCACAGATGGTTTTAGGGCTTACAAATTAGCCTGAATCAATAAATTAGCCAGAATGGGAGAGTGCAAGGAGTAAGGAAAGACTGAAAGAAATAGATAAAATGGGTATACAAAGGAAGAAAAAGGGAAAGGAGATAATTTCTTGGTTCCATAGCAACTCAATGATATGTAACACATGAGAGAAAAAAAATGGGGTAAACATCATCATTTCTCCTGGCCAGCAGGAATAATGCTAAAAACCAAGGGGAAGAAATGAGACAAACTCTCAACTGTATGAAATAGACCCTTCCTCAAAGGGAAAAAGAGTGCAAGGAGGAATAGGAAGAGAAAAAGGCAAATATATTTTAAAAATGGAATTAAATGTTGAATAAAATAAAAAGTTCAAGAGCTCTTAACTATAGAAGAACCTATAGGCATGTTACTAAAAGCAAGCAGGACTCAGAATATCATGTGTGAGAACTAATTCAAAGCTCAACACAACAGCTCCTAGGGCTTTAATGAATAATCCATAAAAATATCTAGGGGCCAACTGGGCTTATCACTCTGGAGCATTTGCTGGTTCAGGAACATGAGTTTGATATATTTTAAAAAACACATTTGTTTGAAAGACAAGACAGGCGCTGTGACTATAGCTCAGTGGCAGAGCACTTGCCTAGCATGTGTGAGGCACTGGGTTCAATCCTTAGCACCACATAAAAATAAAACAAAATAAAGGCATGCTGCCCATCTACAACTATAAAAAAATTAAAAAACAAGACAGACAAAAATCCATTTTCCTCTCAAAACAGTTAAATCAAAGATTATTCTAAAGTCACTGTAATAAAAGCAGAAAGTGAAGGATGCTCAGACTTATGGATTTCTCTCTGGAAGATGCAGCCTCTAGTCTGAAAGCCCTACTTACAATTCTCATTTTAGAGGACCAGCCAGTGACAGAAATGTCATGATCAAATCAGCTTTCAAAGAGGAGCTAGAATGCCATGCTGGCTGTGACCTTCCAGTTTTTTTAGAAACAGAAGAGTGGGCTAATAACTTAACAGGTGGAAAGCACACTACCACAGCATTCACTTTGTCCACTCTCCCTCCTTAGGGATCCCACAGAGACTACCACAATCATTCCCAGAGAGATCTACTCAGGCCTCTCATTTAATTTCTGCACTACCCTTCAACCTGCTATAAAGGCCTGTAAGAAATGCACAGTGCTTGCAACACAACCACTGAGGCACCAAATCAGTCTACATGAAAATAAATAACCACCACACTTAAGTCAGGAAATTGTTCTGTGTGGCAATGAGGTGCTGAGAACCTGAGTCCTCCTCCTCCTCCTCAGAAGTTGCTTCCTCATCCTGGGCAATAATGCTCCCTAATCCATATTCCTGTTCATGGACGGAAACTTCATTTGGTGTGAGGTGGAAAGAACCTTCTACAAAGTCAGCAAATCTGGAAAAGAGAAGGTAATATTCATTAGGAATCTGCCTTCTGTCCTTTTAAAATAAATATATATATATAATTTATGTGTTTTAGTTGTAAATGGACACAATACTTTATTTTACTTATTTATTTATTTTTTTTTATGTGGTGCTAAGGATCGGACCAAGTGCCTCACACATGCTAGGCAAGTGCTCTACCACTGAGCCACAACTGCAGTCCAGCCTTCTGTCCTTTCAGATTGTCTTTCAATAAGAACAAATCACAACACCTGTTATGTTCACAACTCAAATTATAATGAGTCTAGTCAATATCCCTGTCTTTACTCTGACAGGTAAATGGAGTAAAGCCAGTGACAGAAATGTCATGATCAAATCAACTTTCAAAGAGAGAAAGGAAGGCTGGGATCATAGGCCAACCTTCCCTGCAACCCTATTCTGCTTAATAAGCACTAGCCTATCCTTTTTAGTCACGGAAGTGCTAAGGTTCCTTGAGTCACCATATTCCTGATAAGAGATGATTAGGGGCATTACACAGTTATTTTTGTTTATGGCCCTATAAACTTCATGCTGTGAGGATTCCAAATTGAAGCTTCACATACTCATTGGTATAACTACTCCCAGACAAAAAGGAAAAGGAAAAAGAAAAAGAAAAAAGAAAAACCAACTCAGGGAACAATGTAAAACTTTCATAGGACAGACATAATATGGAATCATCCCACCTCAGTGTTATAAATAAAAGGTAAGGCAGGTAGTTCCTTGGGGAAAGTGGGGAAAGAGGAAACAGGTTACTGATATAGGTATCTTTCTCTTGACTACCCTTAGATTAACAATAAACAAAGGCCATAAATACAACATGACTATCTATAGAGTATGATCTCTGTTAGAACTCAAGGTCACAATTACCCTGGCTTATCTGGCTAAGAGTTTACCTTTTTGGAGACTGGATTCGAGAAATAGTCTTCCAAGCAGAACAGTCTGGACTGTTACAAAATTCTCGGAGCTCCTCTAAAGCCCTTCGGGTCTCTACCTCTCCTTGTATCCGATATTCTTCTTCTGTCAGGAGACGAGGGGGGACAGGCTTTTCTGTTGCCTTACACATCTTTCTGTGCTCACCAAAATAATATCATGAATCATTAATCAGTAACCTATATTCATCCTTACTTCTAGAGCCCTTCAGCAGACCAAGCATACAGCAGACAATCTGAACATTTTAATAAGAGTCATCACTCCCACTTTTCTTCCATAGACATCCTTAGTTATGATGGATCCTGACATATTAAATTACAAATGAAAAGTCAGAGTAGTCATTATTATTCACTAATGTGAACAAATTCATTTATCTTCCAATAAATAATAAACAAAGTATTTATTTCCTGATAAATAGAAAAACAGCAAGAAAACAATGTTATAATATTGTGGTCTGTTAACTTCATTCCTCAAACTGAAGGTATCACTCTGACTATCTGAAATAGAACAACCACTGATAATCTCAGAATCCATGACCATTTCATATTCACTATGCAAAGTGATAACATGCTATGAATTACATCTTAAAATAAGATTAGGACTTCCAGAGCAATTTGATCCCCAGTATGAAATAACCTGAAATAAGGTAACCTGAGGTCTATGGTATAAAAGTGATATAATTTGCACCATCTAGTGGTAACAGGAACACATAACAATTTACTGGATGCTTTTATATAAAATGATTAGAATAAAAATTTTTAAAGCCTAACAGAGTCTAAAAACATAGTCTCAGGAAGAAACAATCTCAGAGAATAACACAGTGACTTCTCATTAACAAAGAGGCTCTCACAGGGCAACGCCTCTGGATCCTTTTGCTACAAACTGTATCCCACACTGCACTGTGTCAATACAAAGTTATACTGCCTTCCAGTCACCTGTAGGTGATGTACAGCCACTGAATAGGGTACTCCAGGTTCTTAGTACACAGTGCAATGATGATAATGGCAAGGGCAATGTGAGGTATCTGGATGCCGGAATACATGAAACCCAGGCCCATCAGTTGCAAGGTCCAGGTCAGCAGGTTGATACTTCGTTCATTCTCCAAGGGCCCATACTTGTAACATACTGCAAAACTCATGAATCCAACTGTGAGGATGTAGCCTATGAGAAAAGTTATCAGAAGAAATTCTTTTTCATCTATACCTGATAAAGATAATATATATGGGAGCAGTACTAAATTCACTATACAGCATCTACAGAAGCAGGAAACTGGATGTGATCTTTATTGAATTTTTCATTTTTCACTATTAGAAAATATAAATATACACTCACCCACACATATAAACACACACTTATATCTTTAATTTTCTATCCTTTTTCTGTTGTACTATTTGGTTCAAATGAACAATAAAGCTACATGTTGAAAAATTCTGAGTTTACTTTTAAAAACCTAAAATATGAAAATATAGATTAATGACCACATAATTTCTCAAATGATAGACTGAGGGTTTCTATCAGCATAACCAAAAAATTCTCATTTTATGGACAAGATTCACTGCAGTCTTCTTTTGAGGAAACTGGGGTACCGAGGATTGAGTCCAGGGGCACTCTATCACTGAACTACATACATCTCTAGCCCTTTTATTTTTTACTTTGAGACACAGTCTCACTAACTTCCTCAGGCTGGACTTGAACTTGCAATCCTTTTGCCTTAGCTTCCTGAGTCACTGGGATTATAGGCATAGGCCACCATGACCAGCAGCCCCTGTAGTCTTTTATTTCTTAAACCCTTTAAGTCCCATTGTTCCAAATGAGACACCTAAGAAACTTAAATGGGCCGGGTGGCATGGTGGCACATGCCTATAATCCCAGAGGCTCAGGAGGCTGAGACAGGAGGATCACAAGCCAGCCTCAGCAACGGCAAGGTGCTAAGCAACTGTGTGAGACCCTGTAAATAAATAAAATACAAAATAGGGCTGGGGATGAGTGCTCCTGAGTTCAATCCCTAGTACCCATTAAAAAAAAAAAAATCCTTAAATTGTGCAAGAAATATACCATTTATGGTAACTTTTGAAATGAATATTAAGTTTTTACAGTTCTATTCTTTTGAGAAAATAGGTGAATAATTAGAGTATTCCAAAAGATATTTCATATATATGAAAATATATGCAAAATATATGAGCTCTAGATTATTTTACCATACTTTTGTCAATTTCTTTGAAATATACAGAGTTGAAAACTTGGAACTTAATGAGTTAGGTCTTCATGTACTTAAAATATAATTATATTAACAAAGTCAATTTTATCACTTGTCAGAAAGACACTTTTTGTGCAAAGAGAAGTGCATTTATAAATACCAACAAATTAAAATCTTCTCCATAATACCTGCATTTTAATTTAAAATAAGGTAGTAATGGTGGAGATGTTTAAAATAAATGGAAAACTATGATTTTTCAAATTAATCAAATGACACAAACTATTAACTCTTTGTAAGCAGGCAACATCTTTTAATGATCAAATTAACTAAAATAGCCTACAAACATGCAAAAAGAGAAGCAAAACCAACAACACTTACTTAAAAGATACTGCCAGTAACACCTCCAGATCTCTTGTAAATTCTTAAAAACTAGCTGAATGAGGTACAGAGAAAAGGACCAGCCTCCCACCAGGATGACGTAAATGGGACTTTTCTAAGAGAGTAAAAGTGAAAGCAAAAGTTAAACAGACTTTCCATACATAAAAGAAGCAAAATGGAATTATGATTTTTTTTCTTAAAATTCAACCTACTCAAAATGCACAAAAAACACATCTCTTAAAAAGATGTCCTTTATATCTAAAAGGTACAGTCTGCAAGGAACACTAGGAAAATGAGATGCTAAATAACTTAAAAGCCTGGCTATGCAATTAGAAAACAGAAAAGTGACTTTACACTCCCACTGAGCACAGGATTTTAAATAAAGAGAGTTTTGTATATAATCAGGCTTCAAGTTTCATCAAGGAAAGTACCTTTCAGAATCAAGGAAAGAGTAGGGCATTCACTCTGTCATCAATGCAAATTTTCAATGTTCTAAGATTACCTAAGAAAACAGGCCTTCAGCTATTCTGAGTTCATCCTAACTGCGTATGAAGATTCTGCTACTTACCCTGGGCATGAATTTGGATAGTATAAAAATGATAATTAGTAGAGAAGCCACAATTCCCACACTCATCCCTGTGGAATAGTAGAAAACTTGACTCCTGCAGAGAAAAAATTTATTTCATGACTGTTGGTATATACTCTGTACACAGCATTATTGAAGCCAGGGCAACTAACCAGCCAAAGGATTTTTTTTTTTTTTTTTAAAGGTATGAGATTAGAGTAGGTATTTACCAAAAACTTGAGGTCAGAGAATTATAAAGACTGATACAATATAGTTGCTGGGAGATTATGAAAATTATTATCAATGAGGTCATCTCAAATATATCCCCACAATAAATAACTCTGCTTGATCTTCCACTCACATCCCCAATCTCTCTCCCAACCCAATTCTTTTTTTTTTTAAATTTTTATTTTTAGTTGTAGATGGACACAATACCTTTGTTTTATTTATTTATATGTGGTGCTGAAGATTGAACCCAAGGCCTCCCAGATGCTAGGCGAGCGCTCTACTGCTGAGCCACAACCCTAGCCCCCAACTCAATTCTTATTAAGAATCTCTCTTCTGAGGAACAACTCAGCTTCTCTGGGGAGAAGGAAGGAACAAGAATACTGCCCAAGTAGACAGTAAAAACTAAAACCAAACTGACTATCCAGAAAGATAAATTAACCTTTCATAGGTCCTAGAACAGAAAGGTCCTACTTCCATTCCAGGTTCTTTCTTCAATTATTTCCCGCTCTCTGTGAGTTTCTCTTAGGATCCCCCAAAGTAAGGAAAAATTTCCACCAACTCCACTTCATTCCAACTTCAAATTTTAATTTTTAATCTTTCATTCACTATTCCACAAATATTTTTTACTTCATATAAACATAATGATGATTCTACCTTTACCCAATGTTTTCTTAGTTATCCATATTTTCTTTGCATCTATACATAACAGTTTCACCTCTCTCAGTAGGTAAAAAAGAAAAGCAATGTACAGCAGCTTATGTTTGTCTCCTTACATGTGAACAGTATGAAACTCATCAACATATGACCCTGTAAATATGAGACCTTGAAGTATTAATTCTAACAGTAAAAAGGATAATGACGGTCACCTTTATAGTAACTGTCTAACTCCTATTAGCCCTCCATGAGTCTACTCAATGGGAGAATGTCATTATTAACATTGCTATTCAAATCAGAAAACAACAAAAATCACAACACATGTTATTTTAAAAATATACAAGCAGTAGGGCTGGGGATGTGGCTCAAGCGGTAGCGTGCTTGCCTGGCATGCGTGCGGCCCGGGTTCGATCCTCAGCACCACATACAAAACAAAGATGTTGTATCCGCCGATAACTAAAAAATAAATATTAAAATTCTCTCTCTCTCTTTAAAAAAAAAGAAAAATATATACAAGCAGGCAACATCTAAAACATATAGGCCTGAAGGGGGGATGGCAGTACTTTTGGCTTTTATGATAAAAGTAAGACCTTTTCAAGCTGTACATTAGCCTTCAAACCTACCTGCTCAATAAGTCTCCACAAAAAAACAACATAAGTCCAAGGAGGAAAATGAGGAAGAGTTTGGGGTCAAATTCTGAAATAAATAAAGATTTTTTTCTTAAAAGGGGAGCCAAACAGTTTAAGGCATTATAGAATAAAAGGCAGTTTTAACATTATTGGTCAGCTACAATAAAATAAATACAAATAGCCCACTTAAACAGCATTGTAAATTCCACACAAAGCCTGGGCACTCTTTCAAAGAGAGAATATAATTAGGTTTCTGCTTAATCTACTTTTCTGAAGATCCTACTTATATTTAAGTATATACCTACTTAAAGCTACCTGCACTAAGGCTCAAAGAGGCTAAGCTTCACTTTGGACCAAATTAGATACAGTGACATAGCACTTCAAGCAATGCCCACAAGAGGTCTCTACCACTCTTTATACCCTTAAGTTACAGCACAGAAGTTAGTAAATGTGCCTAGAACTCTGGGTCTGAGCCTCATGTTTCTCTCTGACTGCTTGTCTTGCCCAATCTCCTTCTTTTCTTTGCTACATAGCACTGTGCTGGAAAAAGCTACCTGTCAAATACATCTTGCCCAAGACCAGAGAGCCCAAGCAAAGACCCTTTAATGGCATACTAGAGACTCCTACAGCTTTTACATTCAAGAGCTCTAAATCTACGGGAGGCCCACAAACAGAGCCAGAGGGCTTAGTAAATGTAGAAGGGTACACCGAAAAACAGTTATACCACCATGGAACTCTAGGACTTTGGAAGGGCACAATCTATTTTTGTAGCAAAAACCTAGAAACATGTCTACTACTCACAATATGCCAGGATACCAGGTAATAACCAGGGAAAACCCAAGTTGGAAAGAACTCAACAAAATCCATCTCCTCTAAAATTTTCTCAGTTATCTTCAAAGAAGGAAAAACATCTCCCAGCTCCACTCTATAACTGCAATGGTCTTTACTTACAGTTCCACTCTTTTTATTTGTGAATTATTAATAATCAATTTTATCTTTCTTTGGTTTTTATTATTTAACCACTAGAATCTTCAAATACAGGACAGCTACCTTTGTCTAGAAGTGTCTAGAAGGCATAAACATAACTGACTCACTATAAGAGTACTATGCATATCAGCTCAGGGCCATTGGCAGTATTAGAAAACGCAAGACTTCACAATTTTAGGAAGGAAGTACTCAGAACGGCCTGAGGTAGTGTTTCGATTCTAGGTCTAAAGAGTCTTATGTGGGTGGAGTCTTTGTGAACTGTTTGGAGCTATGGTATACTCAAGGCTATAATCAGAACCAAAAGGGAGCCATCTTGGGTGGACTTGTCTGTCTCACTAATTACACCCTCCAGAACTCACTCCCTTCTCAATCTAGAATCCATCAGAAAAACACGGGTGAGACTTACTCCTGGTCACAATGATACTGTACTTGGCGTCCTCTATAATTTCAACTTTGAGGCAGGTTTTTGTGCTGTATAGACCCACGTTGACATAGGTGTCATTCAATTTCTCTTTTAAAAAAGAGGAAAAAAAGTTCCAGATACTGAACTGCTCGAGCTCCTTCAATTTCTCCTCATTGTCCACCTGGGTGACTTGGACCAATGTGGAACTATTTACCCGGATCTGTAACACAAGTAAATCAGGATGAGAAAGAAGGAAGTAGGTTTTTAAAATTTTCACAAATAAAATTTTTAAAAACCCTTAGGTAAATAAATCAGTAGTGGTCAGTTTTCTACAAGGCTTATCAGAAATATAGAGATACAGCAGCTAAAACATAGTTGGGCAAATAACACTGCACATGGCACAGAAAGGAAGCTGTTAGAATGTCTTCTTGCTAACATGATCTGAATCTACTATTAGACCAGAACATAGTGGGGTGAAAGACTCTCAAGCTGAGTTATCAATACAACTATTTATAAGAGATCATACAAAGAAAGGATCTAGAATATTAAGAAAATTACCAGTCATAAACAGCCCCAGAAAACTAAAAATGTTTCCCATAATGACAGGCTGAGAAGTTCAACCTATTGTTGCAAATCACTGATTATGTGTAAATGCTGATTATAATGTACCCCAGATGGAGTATGATTTTTATAAGAGACATTAAAAAAAGAGAATTTAAAAAAGAAAACAAAAACCACAAGCCCACTCATAGGTTTTTGAGGTGAACAACAAATACCCTTATCAGTAACTATACTTGTAGTAGCAGCAACATTTTCAAAAGGACTCATTTTGTTCAATCACTATTACAGCCAGACACTCTTGCTTGCCAGGTGACTTAACAGTGTTATGAAATAAATAAGACCAAAGTCATTTTACCAAGGGGAAACTTCAGCTCAGGTGGTTTATAAAACATCTTTTGTAGAATCAAAATAGAACAGGGGCAGCAAGGCAAGAGTTTACGTCCTGACAGGCATGCCAGTTTCCAGCCCAAAGAAGGCATAAGGGCTTTAAAAAGAGAGAGGTGTGTTTATGTGCATACTGCCAAAAGGAAGAAAGGGGAGGAAGCTTCTTTGGGAAAAGAAGAAAGGAAGTTTACCTCAAAGTCATAGTACTGTAAGCTTCTTAAGGGAGCTGAGATGCCCCTGCGAGGGGCTTCCAAATTATTACCTGTATCCGTGTCCATATATCATGCCACTTTGGGACAAGCACATTTTTATAACAGAACTGTTGGCTGGTACTCATACTATAAACTCGGGATTCCTGAAGCATGATCACATTTACATCAATTCCAGCTTTATGCAAAGAAAGGAAACAAAAATTAAGTATAACAGAACAACCTAATAACTGCAACTCATTTCATAAGAAGAACTAAACTAACCACTTTCTTAAACTTGGAGCTGAAATATCAGCCAGACCGAAACAAAACTAAAATGAAAGAATAAGGCAGAATCTTATTTCTGTTCCATTTAATTGTGTGCATGACTGCGTGCACTCTGGATTAAACCCAGGGCCTCAAGCATGCTAAGCACACAATCTACCACTCAACCCCAAAATTTTATTATTTAAATATTACAAATAGTCATTAACTCAGAATAAGTATTAACTACTATTAAGTGTTTATTAACATAGAGTGCTGTTTCATTTAACCCTCTTAACAGTGCTATATTTTCATAATGCCTAGTTTACAAATGAGGAAACTAATATTGAAGAAAGGTTAAGTAATTTGTCCAAAGTTAGAGAGCTAGTAAACAGCCTAATGGTGAGAGTCACAACCAGGTCTGACTACAGCTTTAACCATATGTATCCTGCTTTTCCTGTAATGGGATAACTAAAGTAAGCTAAAGTAACCCCATATGTTGATTTTTCTAGATTCCCTGAATAGGACAAACTAACAGAAGTTTTTTGTTTTTGTTTTTAATAAGTCTTTAAGAAGAAACTAAAAGATTGCAAAGTTGCTGTTTATTCCAGCTGTTTCAAGTTTTAAGAGCAGCCAATATGCAGTCCCTCTGATTTATCAAAATGGAAGATTCTCCCCTCAGTTTGTATTCACCCTTAGCTAATTCAAGGTTTAAGAGTGACCACTCAGCTAGGTGTGGTGGCACATCTGTAATTCCAGCTACTTGGGAGGCTGAGGCAGGAGGATGGCAAGTTCTAGGCCAACCTGGGCAAATTTAGTGAAACCTTGCCTCAAAAATAGAATTTTTAAAAAAGGGTTGGGGATGTAGTTCAGTAGTAGAAAGCTTGCCTAGCATGTGCAAGGCCCTGGGCTTAATCCCCACTACAGGGGTCAGAGGGGGGAATGACCAGTTTCCTATACTTTCCCATCCAATTTTGTTCACATTCCTGTTGTAAACACATGCATTTGATTTTTTTTTTTTTTCCCAGTGCTGGAGATTCAATCTAGAGCCTCACACCTGGAGTAAAATCCTCTCCCACTGAGCTGCATCCCCACCCTGTAACTTCTTCCTAAAGTTCTATGTTTTGCATACCAGTTTATCAAATGCTATCAACTGGAAATTTAATTATCACTTTGGTTCTTGATATAGTATAAAGGTGGGGAAATTCAAATAAGCTAGAAAATAAATAAATAAATAATACAAAGATCTTGACCAAATCTTAGAAAGTCAAAATTACACACACACAAAAAGCACTGATGCCTACCACTGAGTCCAAATGGTTTTGGGGTGAAGCTAAGACCAATTTTGATTTCACATTTAGTCTTTTAGCAAAAAAACTACAAAACTCAGAAGAAAACATAGGTGTACATCTTTATGACCTCAGATTAGGTAACGGTTTCTTAGATATAACTCTAAAGTATAAGCAACTAAAGAAAAACTAGGTAAACTGATCTCATAAAACTAAAAACTTTTGTGCTTCACCCAGCACCAAAAAAGAAAACCAACAACAACAAAATATTGCTTCAAAGGACACTATCAAGAAAGCAAAAAGACTAACCCACAAAATCGGAGAAAATATTTGCAATCGTGTATGGTTTAGTATCCAGAATACAAAAATAACTATTAAAACTCAACAACAACCCAATTTTTTAAATAAGCAAAGGATGTGTATACATTTTTCCAAAGAAAATACACAAATGTCCAATAAACACATGAAAAGAGATTCAACATCATTAGTCATTAGGGAAATGCAAATCAAAACCATGATGAAATACTATTTCACACCCATCAGAATGGTTATATTAAAAAAGAGATCAATGCTACATGAGGGGCAAGTTTTTCGCTAACACTCCATTCTGACTCAGTGAGTGGAGTTTGATAGTAATCCTTGCTACAAGTAAAAAAAAAAAAAAAAAAAAAGAGATCAATAACAAGTGTTGGTTGATGATATGGAAAAATTGGAACCTCCATATATTGCTAATGGTAATGGAGAAGTTTGGTAGTTGGTAATTGAAAAAGTTTGGTAGTTCCTCAAAAAGTTATCATACAATTCCACTGCTAAGTATATACTCAAGAGAACTGAAGAAATGTATTCACATGAAAACATATGAATGAATGTTCACAGCACCATTATCCAAAACAACCAAAAAGTAGAAACAACCCAAATGTCCACCAACGAACAAACAGATAAGCAAAATGTAGTATATCCATACAATGGATATTATTCAGCCATAAAAAGAAATGAAGATATATGTTACCAGACAGATGAATTTGTTGGGCATGGTAGCATATGCCTACAATCCCAGTGACTTGGGAGGCTGAAGCAAGAGGCTCATACATTCAAGGCCAGCCTCAGCAACTTAGTGAGACCCTCAGCAACTTAACAAGACTCTATCTCAAAAAAAAAAAAAAAATTAAAAAGGACTGTGGATGTAGCTCAGCACTTCTGGGTTCAATTCCCAGTACCAAACGAAAAGATAGAGGACTATGGAAAACATTACACTGCATAAAAGGAATCACACACACACACACACACACACACAGCCGCCACAGAAAGCCACATATTGTACAATTCTGTTGATACAAAATGTCTAGAAGAAGCAAATCCACAGTGACAGGAAATAGATTAGTAGTTGCCAGGGGCTAGAAGGAGAGGGGAATGGGTAGTATATGGAGTTCCATTTTAGAGTGACTAAAATTTAATGTAATTAGACAGTGGTGATGTTGGCAAAACCTAGTGAAACATTAAAAACCACTGAAGAGAGAATCTTATGGTGTGTAAATTTATATCTCAATTTTTTTAAAAAGTTAGGTCTTTATAAACTATCAATTTCTCACTAGGGTTATTCAATAGTAATTTGGATTTCCTCCAAGTCTTTCCTAAAATGAAGCCTTTTCAAAGGCCTGTTGACACTTATCTCCCTAACAAGCCTACAAATATACTAAAAAAATACCCAGTCACAAATATAGATCAAGTTAATTTTCTTATGAAGAGTGAAGAGTAAGGTTACATAAAACGTTAAACATACTGTATTTACAAATGTGTTGAGGCCTGCAAAAACACTGCAAAGTTAAACAAGAACTGATTACTTTGTTAAAATAATATACAGTCTATTTACAAATCCCTAAGCAAAAACATGCACCTGTGCAGAAAAAGAAAAAAAAAACACACTTATTAATTCTTTCTCTCCCACAGCACCAAGTAATATGACATAACACCTTTCTAAGTCTATTATTACTTTCAAAAGGGTAGGTAGATACAAATAATGCATCAGTACCACAGGGCATTTGAAAAACTTAATGTCGAGAAAAAACATCACTGTTTTTCTTGTGTTTGATTATTTTGGTGCCAGGGATTAAACCTGGGGCGCTTAACCACTGAGCCATATCCCCAGCCCTTTTTTATATTTTACTCAGAGACAGGGTCTTGCTAAATTGCTTACAGCTTCTCCAGGTTGCTGAGGCTGGCTTTGAAGGGATCCTCCTGCCTCAGCCTCCCAAGCGCTGGGATTATAGGCACATGGCACCACGCCCAGCACCATCATTTTAACAATAACGTTAAAGTTTTCCAAAGCCACATTCCTAAAGAAATAAAACAGTCCTATAAGACCCAATGCCAGAATTAATAAAATCTAGTTTTTTCTTTTCCTGAGTCACATACTATTCAAGGGGGAAAAAATGAATAAATAAATAAACCTCTTCCATAGTAACCTCCAAGAGAAATCAGCACCTTGGCTAGCCATATCCTTGGAAATGAACTGAGGGGGACAATATGACAATTCGGCCTTAGGGAATAATCTGCAGAAACAAGCAGGGACTCCAGATACAGATTAAGTTTTTAGAAATATACAACTAAACCAAATGACCTTAAATATATTAGTACCTTGTGTTTCCCATAGTAAAATAACATACATCACTTTTCCTTCCCTCCTCAAAGTGAGTTAGCGAGCATGTTAAAAAGCAGAATAAATTAAAGTCAGGCGTATAATTCAGTAGAGCACTTGTCTAGCATGTATGAGGCCCTGGGTTAGATTTCAAGGACTGCAAAATGATAAAAATAAAAACTAGCAAACATGAGAGAGCAGAGCAAATTAAACATTCAGGAAAACACCTTCTGAACCTCCCAGAATTTACTGAATAATAAATTGCTAACTGTGTTACCTATAAAGTACCTATTCAAAGATTAATAATTAGGGGCTGGGCTCAAGTATCCAAAGAGAATGGAGTACTATTTCAAAAGACAGGTAGTAGCACCAGGTAGCAGGGTGCTTAGCTAGCCTGCACAAGGCCTGGGTTCAATCCCAGTTCTGCAAAAAAACAAAAAATAATAAAATCATGTAAAAAGACCAGAAGAGAATGTGATAAAATGGATTACATCTAAATAGAATGAACAATGAGAGTTTTGATTACTTCTTTATGCTTAATTGTACTTGCCAAATATTTAGAACAAATATGTATTACCTTTATAATCAAACATTTCAAAAACATCCAGTGAGGGCTGGGGTTGTGGCTCAGTGATAGAGCACTTGCCTAGGGCATGTATGACACTGGGTTCAATCCTCAGCACCACACAAAAATAAATAAAATAAAGATATTGTGTCCATCTACAACTAAAAAAATATTTAATATCCAATGAGGGCTGGGGTTGTAGCTCAGTTGGTATAGCATTTGCCTTGCACGCGTGAGGCACTGGGTTCGATCCTCAGGACCACATTAAATAAATAAATAAATAAATAAATAAAATAAAGGTGTTGTGTCTGTCTACAACTAAAAAAATATATTTTTAAAAATCCAATGAGAAGAAACTAGCTTTTTTTTTTTTTTTTGGGTGGGGGGGGGGGGCATTATGGATCGAACCCAGGGTATTCTACCACTGAGCTACATCCCTAGCCCTTTTTATTTTAAGAGAGTAACTTGCTAAATTGCCCAGGCTGGACTTGAACTTGCTATCCTTCTGCCTCAGTCTCCCAGTAGCTGGGATTACAGGCATGTGCCACCAGTACACCACTACTACCTATCTTTTGCAATAATACTTCATTCTCTATTACATGATTGCTCTTTGTAGCTGCCACCCACATAATATATCAGGCTGTACAGAAAAAATATCATCCCCAAGTTTACTTTTCTCCAAGCCAAGAAGTTCCTGTTCCTCTCAACAAATCTGCAGGGCTCAATTGCCAGCACCCCAAAGGAAAAAAAAAAAAAAGAAACTTCAAAGAGAAAGAAACTTCTGACTGAGTGCTTAATATTTTCTCCTTTCTACAATCCACAATTTCATTTTAGAAGTTCAATTTGATAATAGCCTTCAAATGTCATTGTAGGCCCTGCCTCTGTAAAAGTACATTCCTGGATACTTATTCCCCTCTCCCTAGGGGGAAAAGTTTTCAGAAAGATGCTGCAGTTTGGAACTAGATCTTTGAGTGCTGATATGACGCCTTAATCCTAAATGACAGCTGAAGATAGACATGAACCTAAAAGGAAAAATGAGAGTGCATTGCATGTGTTTACAAGATAAGATTATTTTTACTCTCCTCCGCCGTTTCCACTCCCTCCAGGGGAAGCTTGGAAACCCCACTTATTTTTCTATCATGAATTTAACAAGGGTTAAAGGAAGTTTCTAAAAAACATACTTTAAGATTTCTGGATTCAAGCGAAAAGGTTCCTTCCCAATCCCAAACTAACAGTCCAGTTAGCAGATATCAAACACATGTGTTTGAAGGAATCCATAAATTTCCCAAAACAAACCCATTGATGTTAAATAGCACTAGTATCTTTTTTGGGAAACTGAAGTATAATGACCTCAGGTCCGTTAAATAGGGCAGTTAGGGGACAGGGTCTTAAAAGAGCAGATGTTAAAGTACAATGTATTTCTGTAAACTCTAAGGACCTATTCAACCGCCCATGCTCCGGCTCCTGACCGCACTGGCTGAGAAGGTGTTTGCTAATTTGCTAAATAAATGTGATCCTCCCTTTCATGAGGCCTCTCCCCCATCCTCGAAAGGTCCCGGGATCTTATTCCTTTTAACCTAGAATCTCGAGAGGACCCCAGCAGCGTGGCAAAGTCCCCACGGCCAATTCTCAGCGCAGGCCTTTCCAGTGTTCGCCAAAAGATTCCAGGATCCTCCACTCTTGGGGAGCTCCCCAAGACCTCCCAAGGGCCCTAACCCATCAGTCCCGAAGCGGCTTCCCCCGCACCCCGGGCTACTCCACAGAGCCACCGCCCCTCTGCAGAGTAACGGCCCACGCCTTCAGGGCAAGACCCACTTTTCCAAAAATAAACCCTTCCGCCCCCACCCCCAAAGCAGCTGCTGCCCGGGTGGTACCTGAGCCGCAGACCAAGCAGCCGGAAAGGACCAAGAACAGCAGCACTGCCCCACCATCCCCGGCCCCCCAGACCCAGGACCCGGGACCATCAGCCGGCGACACCGCTACTTTGATTCCTCCCGCCATGGTTGCCTTAAGCCGCCTCCTCCTCTCTTGCCTCTCCCCTGCTATTAGCCCCTAACAGGCAGTCCCAACAGCCAGTCAGCTACAAGGCCCTCTCCTAGTCACTAACTTGGAGGGCGGAGCTTCGAGCTCTAATTCCTCCCAGGACCCTAGGAGTCCCGCCCCTTAGCAACTGATGTAAGAGGGCGGGAGAAGCAGCTTTAGCCTATTAGAAAACCGGTTCTCGCCTCACCTTAGCAATGACAACAGGAAGATCCCACCCCTTAACAACATGCTTCCGTTCCCCAGTTTATTTACAAGCGCAATTGATGGCAAGTTTAGCCAATGAAAAATCAGAATTGGCGAAACCTCCTGGACAAAACTTGGTATTTCCATCGAAACTGTCTCAAGTTCCTTCTGCTTTCTTTTTCTTTTTCTTCTTCTTTTTTTTTTAACCACGATCTTTTTGTTATAGGAAGCCTATAATCAAGATCTCTTTATGAATAGAGTCTATTCATGTTTTAAAATAAAACGATTTGGCGAAGTGTGGTCTTCTAAAGTCCTAAATGATTTAAAACAGAAATCACAAAAATTTTGTGTTGTCAGGCATAAATGTTAGAGTTTAAAAGTGTGGGGCTGGGGTTGTGGCTCAGCGGTAGAACGCTCGCCTAGAATGTGCAAGGCTGTGGGTTCGATCCTCAGCACCACATAAAAATAAATAAGTAAAACAGAGGTATTGTGTACAAATAAAAAATAAATATTTTAAAAAATGTGGCCATATGTCTGGGGATGTAGTTCAGTAGTGGAATACCATCTTAGTATATGCAAAGCGTTGATTTGGTCCCCACCAACACAAAAATGTCATAGGGATTTTTTTTAAATAATGTTTAATTCAAAACAAAATTAATTTGAGAATTAAGAAAAGGTCTCTTTACTATTGCTATTTAAGCCAAAGATAGCATGTACAAATATGCGACAGCAAATCCCTCTATAATACACAACTACAACTCACCAATTTAAAAAGCATAGAAAGGAAAAAAAAAAAAAAAACAGCAGCAGTCCAGGACAAGAGGCAAGGAATCCCATAGGATCTAATAGTTGTAGATAATAAAACTGGACACAAAGGAGCCAAGTGAGTTCAGAAATTCAAGGACAGGGATTACTTCTGAAGAAGATTCAAGCTTTCAAAACAGGAAGGTTTTTGGGGTTGTTGTTGTTGTTTTCTGTCTTTTCTTTTTTTGGAACTGGGATTGAACCCAGGGCTTCGGGTATACAAAGAAAGTTCTTTGCCACTAAACTACATCCCAGCCCATCAAAACAAGGAAGTTTTAAAAATTCCAAATGTCCTGAGCTATGGACAAGAAAAGAAATTACATTCTCATAAAACGTTTAGGCCAACCATACTGCAATGTTCATCCTGTCTCATAGAAACACACAACAGATGACCAAGAGAGGTCAATATCAAAAGCAATAAATCACACTTATATTTACATGTACCCTTGCTATCATCTGATGAAAATGGTAATTTACTTCTGTGGTATTCCTCTTCAAAACTCATAACAGGGTTGGGGATGTCACTCAGTGTTAGATTGCTTGCCTAGCATGAATGAGGCCCTGGGTTCAATCCCCAGCATTGCAAAAACAAATAATAAAAACTAGTTAATACCAGTCTTAATCAAAAGAAAAATATTGCACAAATTCCAGAAGGACAGTAATCAAAAATGCTCTTCAAAACTATCAAGACCATGGGCTGATGTAGCTCAGCGGTAGAGTGCCCGCGTAGCACATGCGAGGTGCTGGGTTTAATCCTCAGCACCACATAAAAACAAATAAATAAAATAAAGGTATTGTGTCCCACTATAACCAAAAAATAAAATATGAAAAAAAATATCATGGGGCTGGGGTTGTGGCTCAGCGGTAACGCACTTGCCTCTTACGTGTGAGACCCTGGGTTCGATCCTCAGCACCACATAAAAAAATAAATAAACAAAATAAAGATATTGTGCCATGTATAACTTAAAAAAAATATTTTTTTAAAGAGAGAGTGAGAGACAGACAGAGAGAGAGAGAGAATTTTTTTTTAATATTTATTTTTTAGTTTTCAGCGGACACAACATCTTTGTTTGTATGTGGTGCTGAGGATCGAACCCGGGCCGCACGCATGCCAGGCGAGCACGCTACCGCTTGAGCCACATCCCCAACCCCTAAAAAAAAGAAATATTTAAAAAAATATCAAGATCATCAAAAACAGGGAGTCTTGAGAAACTGTTCAAGACAAGAGGAGCCTGAAGAGAATTAGAATTAAAAGTAATGTGGGGAGGTTGGGTTTGTGGCTCTATGGTAGAGGTCTTGCCTAGCACATGTGACGCACTGGGTTCTATCCTCAGCACTACGTTAAAAAATAAAAATAAGGGCTGGGGATGTGGCCCAAGCGGTAGCGCGTTGGCCTGGCATGTGTGCTGCCCGGGTTCGATCCTCAGCACCACATACAAACAAAGATGTTGTGTCTGCCAAAACTAAAAAATAAATATTAAAATTCTCTCTCTAAAAAAATAAATAATAAGAATAAAAAAGTTATAAAACTCAAAAAAAAAAAACTTAATGTGGTATTTTGGGTAAGATTTTTGGACCAGAAAAAAAGAAAGGTAAAAATAAAACTAAGGAAATATGAACAAACTACAAACTTCAGTCAATAATAATGTATGAATAACTGACTATGGTGATGTTCACCTGTAATCCCAGTTACTCAGAAGACTGAGGCAGTAGAATAGCAAGTTCAAAACCAGTCTGGGCAACTTAGCAAGACCCTGTCTCAAAAAATAAAACGGGCTGTGAATGTGGCTCAGCGCTAGAGTTCCTATGGATTCAATCCCAAGTATCAAATTTTTTAAAAAGGACTGGGGATATAGCTTAGTGTTACAGTGCCCCTGGGTTCAATCCTCAGTATTATAATAATAATAATAGTAAATGAATAATATTTTACTAATGGTGGAAAATATACCATGCTAATGTTGAATAGTAATAGGGTAAATAATGGGAACCCTCCCCTCCTGGTGGCGCAAGCCTGTAATCACAGCAGCTCCAGAGGCTGAGGCAGGAAGATCACTGAGTTCAAAGCTAGCCTCAGCAAGTAAGACTAAGCAACTCAGTGAGACCCTGTCTAAATGAAATACAAAATAGGATGGGGATATGACTTAGTGGTTGAGTGCTCCTGAGTTCAATCAACGGTTTCCGGCCCGCCAACCCCCCCACCCCACGGGAACTCTCTGCACTCTTTTCAATGTTTCTGTAAGTCTTAAAGTCTAGTAAAACGCATGTGTATATATGTATATTTTATATATATTTCAGAATACTATTATGTACAAATATATAATTCACATACACTTACATAAACGCACACACACTCCATTTTTTCTTCCACACCATTCAGAGCTTGCTTTTTGGTTTTGACTAAAGGCAAATTAATTTCAGGTTTAGGAACTAATTCCAAAAGATCATTAACTACTGATTATTAAAATGTGTAAATGAGGTATACAGTAATGATATTAGTGGTCCACAAACATATCACACCTTATCACACAAATGACTGCTGTTGGTTCAATATAGTACTTCAATGCTTATAGTACCAGTGACTCCAAAAGCTGAGCCAAGAGGATCTCAGGTTCAAGGCCAGTAATTCCAGCAGCTCTGGAGGCAACTTAGGGATACCCCCCACACGTATACACCTCCATCTCAAAATTTAAAAAGTAAAATAAAAAGGGTTGAGGGTGTCACTCAGTGGCAAAGCACTTCATTCCCAGTACCAAAAGACAAAGAAAAAAAAGGAGTAATTTAAGAAGTTTTTTCCCTTATTTTAATAACGAGGACACCACTCAAAACACTTTGAGATTCACCTTCAAAATCTATGTAGCACAAGCTGCAATGAATATTCATTATCTGCAGGTGGATCTGATTTATGCAAATAGCCAAAAAAACTTAGGCCAAGGCTGATGAGTAAATAGGGTGGGAAATCTGGATGTAAATGTGTGTTCAGAACTTTTTGAATTTTAGAAAAATAAAATGGCACATATGCACTATACAAGGCAACAATGGCATCTAGGACAACACCTGTTAACCAAATTAATATTTCTGCAATGACATATGAATAATGATACTAAGATAAATGAAAGAGGTATAAATGAAAACCATAAATAATCTCATGTAAGTTTAGGTCAGATACTTTGCCACAAATAAGCACAATTCAGATTTGGTTGAAGGCTTTGTTATTGTTTTCAGTGACGGAGGGCCTGGCACTTAACAAGTGCTCTATCACTGAACTACATCCCAGCCCCCAGAATAGGTTTTAATGTGTCAAATAAGTTATGAAAAAAACTTTTGGTTTGCCTAATTTCAAAATTTATTATTATAAATAAAGGATTGCAGATTGTGAATATTTTATGAAAACAATTCAGCCATCACCAAGTCCTATAGATTTTATTTTCTATCTTTTAGATCTGTCCTTTCCTCTCCATTTCATGCCACTAAATGCACCCAGCACTTTGTAATTTCTCACTGGGAGGATCTTGAAGCGACAACATCCTTTGGTTTCCTTCATCTGGCTTCCCTGGTTTTTGCAGTTATAAATCCTTCCTCTACTTTGCTCCTTAATGCAGATCTGACCCTGCCATTACTAAGATGCAGTCTTTATGGTTCCACATTATCTATCTCTGTAGGATGAAACCCAAAATATAGGTATAAAGAAACTACAAATTGCTATTCAAAGTTTGATACTGTTTGATATTTTGATACTAATCTGCAATGAAACTATTGCAGAAGTACGCTTAAGAAGTTTACTAGCAATCTGAGGGAGAAACAATATTTATGAACTCTAATTTTTAAAATGGGGTGATTTTTTTCTCATTTTTCTAATCCACTTTTGTTGTATTTTATAAAATTAGTGGGCAACATTAGGTTAGAATTTCTTTTTTTAAAAAAAAAGAAAAAGATTAGTCCAGTCCTTAACAACAGTTTGAGATATACTGGTG